ACCGCAAGCTTGGGTTGCTGAAGACCTATTCTACCCCGCATCTTCACGGGCCGAAACATTTTTAAGGAATGATAAGTAATATTAACGTTTCACACAATGAAGTCATCAACGCTTGCTACCTTACAGCTTTGGAATTAGATAAACTGGAGACGAGTGTGGTTTAGCAATTAAACACAATGTCTTCTTCACCGGCTTAGTTGTGGTTCAGGGAAATTTGACAGCAAATTGCTACATAAATCAAATTCTTCAACCTCACCTTCTTCCAATCATTGACCGCCAAATGGAGCTGTTTCAACAGGACAACGCTCCACCGCACACTGTATCTGTATCTGTTAATTTTCTGTTGGATTTTTTATATATAAATATATACAAACACACGCTACGGGTGAAAGACGTTTTATTCCGCTAATGGATGTGTCATATATTTATCTACATCCTGAAACATATTAAATTTTTGGTTGGTTTGTTGTTTAACGCCGCACTATGTTATATTCCAGCTTTATGAGGGCGGTCTGTAAATAATCGAATCTGGACCAGGCAATCCAGTGATTTATGTCATGAGCATCGATGCACGCAATTGGGATCGATGACATGCACCAACTAAGTCACCGAGCCTGACCACCCGATCCCTTTAGTCGCCTTTTACGGCAAGCATGGGTTGCTGAAGACCACTTCTACCCCGGATCTTCACGGGGTAATAATGTCATAAATACGACAACAGTACTTGGTTAAGATGTTTTTAGATGATAACACTTGGCTGTAATTTATATCATGGCTAGATCAGTATAACAATGTGTTTAAATTAACCATTTTCAGAGGGATGTCCTCAAGGAGATGACCCAAGTGTAGCATGTCAAGCATCTCTATGTCCTGACCTCAACCCTATTCGAAACGGTATTCAATGTTGCCGTACCTGCAATGAATCATATATTTGCCCAACGTCAACAATAAACACCCCAACCACAACTCCTACCACTACAACTACTACAACAACCATACCTACAACACGTGCTCCACCAAACAGATGTAAGCGGCAAAGTGGACGATAATTGTGTATAAATGATTATACAGTCACTGAACTATAATGCCCACAGTCGCCCAGTGGAATTGGCATACTATAGAAAGAAACTTTGTTAGTCTTCATGTATTGTCCAGTTGACTTGTATACGTGGCTATACAATAAATTTATTTGAGATGAGACATTTATTATCTTCCATGAGGGGTTACTCCAGATCGACATATCTTAAAATAGCATACCTGACCAACCATGCGATGAGGGACTTTATGGATGAAAGATCGCATTTTGACTTCTTATCATATTTTAAAACTACAGTATTTTAGGACCACAAAAATATAATTCATGACCTTCAATTTCATACGTGTTAAGATATACATGGCGTCAAACATTGTGACACATTTTCTGCACAATCCTTTTTTCAGAATTATAAATGTTTATGTAATAATTGGATTTTTAGATAATGTCTGATTAACTGTAAGTAGACATGTATGCTTAAATGTTTTGAAATTATTTTTTCATGATCATTACATTACCTATTTCTGTGCAGTCCGCACACATGGCGATTTTTATGGAAGAAAGTTGACGTCAAATGTCTTTCTTTATGACGTCACAGCACAATTGTATCCTAGCACCAAAACGGTCCTTTTTCTCCTGGTGGTTCACATATGCTCAAATGCAAAAGAATAAAAAGATAATAGATAACCGAAAGAAATACATATGCTTTTACAAATAATTATGGACACAAAATCCAAAACTTCACCGCGTTGTTTGATGCAGTCTTAATGGCATTTTAGGAAACATATTAATTATGGGAAACGTTTGGTGAGCTGTGCAAAGTTTTAAAGAGGTGAGGATTTTCTTTGCAAAACATTGTGTAAAGATGTTTGCAGCCCTTTACCTTACATTTGGAAAGATAAGTAATTCAATGCTCTTTCCGGGTTTGGAAATGTTGTTATTAGTTGAAAGTTAAAGGTGCTTTAAATATAATTTCCTTTTCAAACTGCTTGAACAACATTCCTGACAGGGAATGGATATAACTAACCACTCCACCATAACCTTTGCAAGATCACAGTAACCTGCCAGGCAAAATGTGAATTTGAAATTTAGAATTGTTTTGATCGAAAAATGGAAACATGAAAATATAAAGAGTTCATCTTCAACAAGATACATGTTCAAAGAAAAAATGAATTGTGTGTTCCTCATTATAACATTTACTTTTGTAACATTGTAATGCAAATATGACAACGCTTTGAGACAAATAACATCTGTAAGAGCTCCGAGGCTATTGCAATCATTATCAGCAAGTACACTAATTCACGTTCTGCACGTCAATGCATCAGGTGTAGTCATATTATCATCTCTGAAGAAATACTCAATGGAGGGAACACATTTGAATAACTATATTCATATGCCTTGGGTTACTTTTCACCAGGTGTTTCGAAACTGTTAACATCCGTCCAAAATGAAAGTGAAAGAATGTCACGATGCATTGACACAGACACAATTCGTCAAACGGCATACTCAAGGAAAAAAACAAACTTTTTGGGTATGACAATATTTGAAAGCGCGAGTTCATGGGGTGGGAAATTCAGTGTATGAATTTAGTTTTATGAATCACCTCCCCTAGACCGTTGAAGCTAGCAAGGTCGTCCATAGCTTTACTGCGTTGTCACGCACATTCGCAGTCAGTCGCCGACGCAACATGGCAAAGCTCGCCACAGCAACAAGCTTTTTTCCAACCCTCCCATCCAGTAGTATGATTGGGAGCTTGTGTTTCATGCTTGCTTGGGTAATTGGTATGACTCAACAAGTTTGATTCCTCATAGCATCTTCAGATGGTTTTTTGGTGATACAAAAGTATTTCATTTTTATGGGTGCTATAGTCACACACCTACGCTTGGTGTTCTGCTATGTCCATGCATATATATTTATCAGCTAAGCTTGTTCTTTTAGTATTAAAGTATGAGCCCAGGCCAGGTTCCAGGTTGTGTCTTCTTAGAGCAATGACTCTTGCATGTAAATATTAGTAAAGTTGTATCAGTAGGTTGCCGTTGACGATAAAGAGTAGTGCCAGTAATTGGTCATGTGACACCGGCACACCGGAGGTCTCCATGTCCATGTTCTCACATAACGAAAGAAACTTGAGATATAACAGTGCAATTGCTAAATTATTTGCCACTTAGAATATCCTCATTTTACTTCCCCGTTTGGGAGTTCTTGGATACTGTCATAGTGCATAGATATGAAGTATTTAACTGATAAACTGAATTTAGGTGGTCCTTTTATGTACAATTCTGGATGTTAGATTCGTCTACGTACGTACCTACCTACCTACCTACCTACCTACCTACTCAATTTAATAGTATCATTCAGAGTTTCCGTGAAATATTTGCGCTACTCAAGCTGAATTGTTGTAATACAGCAGCCGGTCCACCTCCATTGCCTAACAACGGAAGTGAGTGAGTATGGTTTTAGCAATTTTCCAGCAATATCAGGGCGGAGGACACCAGAAATGGGCTTCACATATTGAACTACCGAAATCCTCTTGCAGAACTGTATCAAGGCATAGAGGTAAGAAGTTGTGATTAATTGTGTATCATTGATGCAATTAGTAATAGGCTAGTTGATTAATACAGATTTGTGATCATACAAAACTACACTATAATTGAGTTAGTGAGTGGGTTGGGTTTAAGACCGCTTTAAACAGTATTCCATTTATATCGCGGCGTGTCAGCTTAATGTGGGAGGAAAGCCCGAAGTGATGGAGGTCTCAGACGTTTACCACTTTGGTGAAACCCACGAGCACAGTTATGGTGCTGACAAACCTAGAAGCATAATTGGGGCGAACCGTTGGTTTCTGGCGTGTCCAAGGGATGCAACTCTGCACTTCAAATCGCGGCGCCTTAGACCACTAGGCCACCCGTGCCCCAACTAAGCTATAAATTGTCATATACTTTGATTCATGTGTACAGCACATTCTTGAACTTGAAAATAACAGTGCAGACTATAGATCATGTGACGTTAAGAATACACCATTAAATGAGAAAGTGTCCCTTTTAAAACTGTGAAGCCAATATTATAGCAAAACCTTGCTACACAAAACATACCCATCTGGTATACATGCTGGATATATCCGATTTGCGTGCATGCTAAAAACCTGTGCTCTTCCGATTTTCTGAAAAGTGGTTTCCATTCTTGCTGTGCATTTGTCTACTTACATGTATATTTGCAATGTTGCTCTCAGATCACAGTGAAGTAGATCTTTCAAGAGCAAACACTTTAGTAAAACCCATACAAAAGCGACAAAACCATTTCTATAGTCATAAGAAATATCTGCCAAAAGCAATTGTGCGATTTCGCCTATAAGCAAGAGTTTTGAACCACTAGCAATTAGTGCAGATACCAGGTGATCGCGAAAATGTGTGCGTATCTTGCCCCACCGGTGGCTTCTGTCGAAAACACATGCAACTGTTCCTTTCACTACCACGCACTATTCTATTGCATTATAGACCCAGTAGTATCACTCCCGGGCTTCAAATCTTTGAATTTCCGATTGTATACCCTTTCACGTTAATTCCTCGTGAATACTTCACGGGTTGTATACACTTGTTCCTCCACCACTAATACATTGGGCCAATATAACCTGAAATGGTGACGTGCGTCTATATTTAGTCAGCGAATGAAATGAGTCCTTGCATAACTCACGGAAGTCAAAGTTCAACCCTTATATGACATAAAAGCAACATGTAAATCAGATAACACAAGACTATGGCACATGTTGCACACGATGAAAAGCGAGAAACATTGCAGTTTGCGCGAGTACTGCTGGAATCACGGTGTCGCTTGATTCGTTAGTTACAGCTGGAGACAGCGGGTATTCACGTGTAATGGAGGAACGTGGCATACATACACACCCGTGAAGTATTGACCACTATTTGCTTTTATCCAAAAATCACTAAAGCAGATAAAATAAAACCTTCACTGGTTGGTGTATTTATTATGCTGTTGAAGCTAACTTGCCTCTTCCTTGATCTGTTCATTTCCTGGAATCAGGTAATGTTTATGCATCAGTTGTCTGAATTTTGTACATACCAAACATAACATAATTTAACATTTGCCGTGTATAAGATGACCGCTTTTTATAAAAGCTCGAGGGTCTAACATTCATGTAATACAAACAAGACGACACTTGTCATGTATCATTTACTAAATATTACCGACAACGGACGTGTTCGCAGATTCGAAAATGTCAGTATATGATAACTGCGTATTATAACACATGAACACACTTAACTAATCAACTGCCGGAATGTAAAGTGGATCATACATTCAATAGGCCAACGCATATCCACAGATATGATGAAGTATATTCTCTGCAGAGAGCTGAATTTCACTGATGCATAGCCGGAAACACAAATGTGAGCTAACCTCGACGGATGATCGTAAATCATTGATTGAACAGAAATAAGGCATTGTCCTTCATGGTACAATTGGTCCTCTCATGAACATCATATCGTCGCCTACACCGTGCCCAATCGGAATTTGGTGTCATGGCGGATTCCACACGCTGAAAAGGTAAGCATATTGATCAAATATTTAATTTATGTCTCCCCTACATTGTATTGCTACCAACCCTAGGTAATAACAAAAGTTCTTCTCATCGTCATGTGCACATTTCTATGGCCAAGGATCTTTCATTTAACATTTTAAACATTTATCCCGTTTACACATATACCTGAAAAGACTGCTAAACACACTATATCTTCAGTCATATGCTTGTCGTATAAGGCTACTAGATTGACAGGGTTACCTGATTCGGTTGTTGGCGTGTCAACGTATCTCGTGGGTTGCTTCATAATATGAATCACCTTTTTGTTTGTCAGATCCAGACTCGTTTATTTACCGACAGTTGCCGTACAGATGGAATATTGGAATTCGTCATAACGAAACACACAAACTATATACTGGTGCACAAATAGAGGCCTTAGGATAGTGCACGTTATTTATTAATCATTCGTAAAGGCGGATCTATGCCAGCGATGTAATCCCATATATTTAAAACAACGTACGTGTAACACGTTTGGGCTGAGGAAATATCTTTATTGTTGTTCGGTGTACGCTAATCATGAATGAACGTACAGACTACAAACCTGAGCTAAAGAGCCCCTTTCATCAAGGATCTGCATCACAAAGGTGACAGGAATGGGCACTACCGACGACAGAGCAATGCACCAACCAATGATGACGGCGAAATAAGGGTATTCATAACCCCCGTATGTCGGTGGTTTATAAGAAGCGACAGCAAGACCCATAGCAACCTACAACAGCAATGAAAGAATTGGGTTTTTTCAATACCATATCACAAAACATACATACATATTTAAAAATATATATTATATAATGGGTTTGTCATTCCTTTCAGGACAAATGTACTTCTTATTCAATTGTCACAGTTTCCAATAAGTAAAACTTTAGTTTTGATTATGTAAACAAAAGTATGCATTGACAAACGAAGTTTGACGGGTGCATCTACAGGTATTTAATGATTTAACACTACCATCAGGAGGGCGGGTACGACGATGAAGCACATCAGCTTATAAATAACTGGAAGTCGTTTTCCAATCATTGCCTCCACGTCAGCAGCGAAACGCTTCATACCTGGAAAAAGAGGAAATACAAATTGACTACTGAAGAAGAATTCGTATTTCAGTACTGAACGTTATTAATTCTCGGTTAATCAAGTAATAAATCAAAAACCAAAAGTTTTCCGTTTCTCAGTCTACACTTCGTTAAATGGATTGCTTATCTTTTATGCAGGACTCTGAGGACTGACACATTTAACAACAACGTTTTTCATAAAAAACATCATATATTGTATAACTGTCACAATGCATTACCATTATTATAGGGTGAATATGCCAAAATACACAAACAAAAGAATCATGAAATTACCTTTCAAGACCGTCTTTCTTAGTAATAAATGTGCCCTTTTGGATAATGTTTACGTGACGTTTCTGTTTGTGTTGGGATAGTGTTTACGTGACGTTTTTGTTTGTGTTGGGATAGTGTTTCTGTGAACCTATTTGTTCGTGTTGGGATAGTGTCTATGTGACGTTTTTGTTATTGCAAGGATATTATGTTCTCAAATGGACGTTTCTCGACGATGCGAATATGACAAAATACGTCAAGATATTACTTTTTTAATGTGGAAAATACGATGAATAGCATGACAATATTACTACAGTTTCACGGCGGTGGACACAGGAAATGGATGTCAAGTAACCCTACCACGACTGAACATTATGAATTCAAGTACGAATATATATTCTCGTCACACTTGACTGTCAATATCGTTTAATGTCATTATGAATACAGCAATGACATTGTACATGCCCGAAAAACAGTAAAAACATGTACACCTTACCATAACACCAGCCGACAACCAGGCATTCTAATGTACCGATGAGAAAGCATGCAACAGCAGCAACATACCAATCAAATAACTGGAACATGTACACTCCTGCCTGGAATATATAAATAACAGGAAGTACTGGGCGGTCAAATTCTTTAATACTGTATAATGAACAGTGAGTGAAACCGTGCTATTTGCAAAAGGTAAGACTTACACGTTTACATTTATAAAATGATTTTGAAATGTTTGACTATTTAATAATGATGCTACCAGCTTTTCAGCCTCACGCGATGACACATATATGATATTTGATATGAAGTAAATGGTCTTTGTATTGCACTTTTATGTTATGTTAGACGTATTAAGACACATGGGCATATCTAAGGTAAGTAGGCCTTTGAAAATGCATTTATCACCTGCAGCAGAATACTCACATTTGTTGTGTAAGGAAGCCCGGAAAGGAATACAAGACTCATGAACAGAGCGGCTAAAATAGTCTGGAGGTGTTTGACGTGAAATCGGCGTGGCAAAACATCTTCTATACAGGCAAGGGCAGCCTCAATATTTCCAAACTGTTAATATAGAACGCAAGCTCAAAAATACGTCCCACATATGGAATGGGAAGACATTATTTTCCATTGATCTATTAAAACACATTACTTTGGAAAATACTTCCAGCCAATAGATTGCAACTTTCGGGGAACGATAACAGCAAACCTTTCCCGTGAAGATCCGGGTTAGAATAGGTTTTCAGCAACCCATGATTACACTATGCTTTCGTAAGAGGCAACTGACGGGGTCGGGTGATAAGGCTCGCTGACTTGGTGAATCATGTCATCGTATCCCAAATGCGTAGATCGGCGTTAAACAAACAAACAAACCAAGTCACCGAGCCTGACCACCCGATCCATTTGGTCGCCTGCCTATTCTCACAAGGAATCTGTACGGGTGATGTGGTGGTTGAATAGAGTACTCTAAAGGAATTGATGTATTTGTTAATCACCGTTGTATCGACCCCCATCATCAGGACTATCAAGAAGAACAGCACCGACCAAAGATGGGAGAACGGTAACAGGGAAACTGCCTCTGGGTACACGATAAACCCAATGCCTGGACCTATGAAAACATCCATACAAACTTTGTTTATATAATAATCAGTACAAATTAGTAGAAATAGTACAGGCTTGGGGTTTAAAACATAATAGAATGGGAGAGAGAAGGGTATGTTGGTGTATCAACATTGATATTTGTTTTTATTAATAAAAAATAAACATGGAAATTATAGCGTAAGGAAAACGACCACGACCACCTACCCAGTAAATTGACTACAATTTACTCAAAATGATAATACATGTAATCTTTCAAAATGTTTCAAAAAATGTTTTGGGACCAATTGTTTTATTGGTATTGGTAGTTTTCCCATGCTAACTAACCTGAAGTGATGACATCAGCTACGGGTTGTCCGAGATCATGCGCCAAGAAACCCACAGTTGCAAACACCACAAACCCGGAAAACACACTGGTCAACTCTCCTAACAGAGTGACTAGGATGGAATCTCTACAAAAACATATCGTACCTTTACTCAAAAATTTACATATAATTTTAAGTCATATCGGCAATATTCCAGCCATATCGTGACGAGACAAATGTATATATTAACAACAAATATATTCAGAGTGTAAGAAAAACCTGTAATCGAAGGACAGTATAATAACTAGATTATCATAGATTGTATTTAAAATTAATTTGAGAGCAGGTATAAGAATAAACTATCCATTAACAGCACAACATAAAAACGGGTCTATAGATCGCTAGAAACCAACATTAGGCCACCACACTAAGGTCTGAGGGGACTTACAAAACTTCTGCTACCTGCACCTTTCCCAAGAAGGATTACACCATCCTTGCTGACGATTGTATGCAAGTTTAGCTATTAATGTAATATGCCAAGCATACTACTTTACAAATCTAGCATGCATAAAAATACGTTGAATGACGTGGAACTTACATACCCTCTTGGGGGGGGGGGGGGTAATTTTACGCTACAACAAACCCCCTCGAGGGTAGAGCCACTAACAATCTAAGTTACAAATTAGCACTACCAATTCATAAAATAACACCTTGTACATCAAAACTTATCAAGTGATTTAATTTCTTTTAAAAATTCCAAGAATGAAACGAGAGCTAATATTGACATGCTTCACGGTGATTCTTACATCACAAGGGATACAGAATGGAGGATCCCCACCTTCCAATAAGTAGTAATGTGTATTTCTGTTGTGGCCAATACGACCTCGACACATTATGACCCTTTCAAATCTGGACTGACCATCCAAGTAGGTGTAACCAATAGTGGGTTTCATTGCATGCAATTTGTGATTATGTACTTGGATGTCCCACTTATTTTGCACTAAATCTTTGATGTAACATCTATTTACAGGTTTATAATCACTGTGTGGGAAAAGAAGTGGTGTCACAGAGTTGTTGAGTGCTGTTTTTGCAGCATTTTGTCACCAATGATTCCATAATGGCTGGTTAGCCAACAAAAGACGATGACATATTGGCCCGTAGCAAGATCATTAAATAATTCAAGAATTTCGATTAAAAAGTGAATGTTTACATGACATATTGTAATAACCTGAATGCACGGTTTAAGGCCGGACTCATCAATATTCCAGCTATATGACGGTGGTCTGTAAATAATCGAGTCAGGACCAGACAATCCAGTGATTGATATCATGAGCATCGATCCACACAATTGGGATCGATGACATGCATCAACCAAGTGAGCGAGCTTGACCACCCGATCCCGTTAGTCGCCTCCCACAACAAGCATAGTCGCCTTTTACGGCAAGCATGGGTTGCTGAAGACCAATTCTAACCCAGATCTAACGGGCCATTTGACTTTATTATATGGATGTATCATACAGGTTAGTTGTAGGTTTGCGTATTGTTTTGGAGACTTTTTGATATGCTTTGGATTGGAGTTATAAAATTCTGTAGTTATATAATGTAACCAAAGCAGCTGTTGATAAAATTTCATTTTTCCTACCACACGTCACATTTAATTTGTTTGGTTTTTTTTACAAGAAAAACTGACAAAACCCTTTCCATTGTCATAATGAAGTCTCTGCGGAAAGCGTAGTCCGCTGTACGATACCGAGTTTATGGTTTGCTCCCAACATTCAAAACCTACCTGACAATGTTGTTATGAGGAGAGTTGTGGCTTGACATGGTGATAATAGTCCCCCAAGCAGGACCCACTGAGAAGAACACCTGAAGAATTGCTTCTAGCCACACCTGAGGAAATATAACCGAGGACAATATAGCGTTCCTGGTAATATCCGTAAATGACTCGTTTGTTTGTTTGTTGTTTAACGCCGCACTCAGCAATATTCCAACTATATGACGGCGGTCTATAAATAACCGAGTCTGGACCAGACAATCCAGTGATTGACGTCATGCACATCGATCCACGCAATTGGGGTCGATAACATGCATCAACCAAGTCAGGGAGCCTGACCACCCGATCCCGTTAGTCGCCTCTTCCGACAAGCAGAGGCGCCTTTTACGGCAAGCATGGGTTGCTGAAGACGTATATGATTCGTAGTAGGTTTGTCGTTTTCCTGTTTCAATTTGAATATTGGTTGAATTGTTTTAAGGTTTACACCTAATTGTACACATCAAAAATAATAGCTGAAACTGAAGTGTGCCAAATGTTTTCTTAACTTAACATCTTGATCATATTGATATTCAATAACTGCTATCTGTGCAGAATTCGGGCTCTTTTCCAAATTAGGTGGAAACAAAACACCTTGATGTGGTATCTTGGGAATGTGAATGAACAGGCACTTGCGATAGAAATAAATTGACCGACTGACACATGACACATGACACATGATTGAACAAATATAGATAATACAATATGTGTATATTCCATTATGCCAATATAGAGACGGTTGCGTGTATGTAATCGAATCTAGATCCCACAAACCAATGCCTGATAACATGAGCACCGATCTGCGCCGACGGGTTACGATAACACGCATTCTCTGAACGTAACCACCCGACTAATTCTAGAGGTGGAACCATACTGTGTGGTAATAACTTTGACTGTTAAGATCGAAAACGAAAGGACTTTTGGAAGTTCAATTATTCTCTATTAAAAGACGAAACTTATGTAACACTCGTTCAGACTACCATTGAAGAAACAAAGCAGCAGTATAAAAATGAAGATAATAACAAAGAAACCGAATTTAATATAGACAATCAACATTTCTGGTAAACACTTCTTCTTATGATAATAGGTAAGACAATACAACATTCAACCTACAATTAAGGAAAAAACAACATATACGGAAAAGAAAAACTCAAGAAAAGTTAACTTCTGACTAAAAAATTACATGAATCCCCGGAGCAAACAGTGAAACATCCGGCAGAGATAATGATAGTCAATACAGAATTAGAAGAAATCATAAAGCATAAAACAAAAGGGTTGCATGGTACGGACAAAGGGGCAATGGATGGAACAAAGGGGAAAAAACCAACACATTATTTCGTAGGTTTGGAAACAGGCAACTATCTTAATAAATCCATGAACAGAATAGAACAGGAAGATGACAGAATGACTGAATCACAAGCTGATATACTAAAAGAAGTAAAAGTCTATTCTTCAAACTATACTCAAACATGATATTCCTAAACTATCTAATGAAATAGCCCAGAGGTTAAAAGGTGAGCTGACATACAATGCGGTACAAGAAGCTGTCCTGGGCCAGATATTCGGCGGAATTTATCAGATTGTTCTGGAATGACCTTGGGAAATATCTGATAAAATCCTTAAATGATACTTACAATAATGGCCAATTATCAATATCACAAGGACAAGGACTAATAACGTGTATCCCAAAAAGGAAATAAACCAAGCAGCATTTGAAAAACTGGCGACCGATAAGCTTACTATCTGTATTCTATCAATTCGTATCAATAGCAATATCATAAAGGTTAAAATCTGTTTTAAACCTCCTGCCTAACGAGGATCAAAAAGGATTTATGGCTGGATATATAAGATACAGTGGTGAAATAACAAGACAAATCTATGATCTACTGGACTACACCGACAACTATCAGATACCAGGTTTATTATGACTTGTATATTTTGAAAAGGCATTCGATAAAGTTGATTGGGAATTCATAGACGAAACACGAAACTTTATTGGTTTTAGAAATTCAATAAGAAGATGGATAAAAACCCTTTTACAACGAAATGCAATCATGTATACTAGTTGATGACTTTGGATCCAATTTTTGGAAAATATACAGAGGTTGCTGACAAGGTGATCCTTTGTCTCCCTATATCTATAAAACAAGGATAGGATAAACAAAAGAAGCGCTCTAGAATAAAACTATGTCAAGACAGGAACCTGGATTTGGGGCAAGATCCGTTCGATCTACTTGGAACTAAATTCAGTACTGATCTTGACTAAATGATTGGCTTGAATTATGATAATGCATTTAGAAAATATGAAATGTCCATTCGGTCTTCAAGAAACTTTAATCCCTAAGAGAGAAATACCGTGCTAAAATCACTAATTCTACCAAAAATAACCATTTATTTTCATTTCTACCAGATCCACCAGATACTAAGCTAAAACGTTTTAAAAAAAAGGTGTTTCTCATTCATTTAGGGAGGTAAACCCGACAAAGTCAAATTATATGTGAAACATCAGATGGAGGTATAAAATGTCCCAAAATACTAGAATTAATAAATGCGCAAAAATAGCAATGGTATGTTGAGCATTAAAATGGAAATCAAAGTGGTGACCATTATTCTTCTTAAATATACCTCGTTCTGGACACGATAATGCATTCGAAATTACCTGCAAGACATTAAGATTACAAATGGTTACTCAGATATATAATATATACTACAAGGTCCTTATAAAGGCCTGGTGAAAATTCATAGATAGCACCCACATTGTGCGTATAAATGACAATGGTATCCCAGCACAATATATGTGGCATAACGAGAACATTAGAATAATTCATATCATTCGAAACCTTTATAACCGTTTTCAATTTGAAAACCAATGTTTTAACCTACACAGGTGTTCTTCTCGCTGTTAAACAATACTGTCGAAGATAATGATTACCACAATTTGCAATTATCCTACAATATATATCATCTGAACAAGCAAAAAAAGATTTTACAGTATTTCTATGAAATACCTATTAAAAATATATGTGAGAGAAATAATCATTTTGCTAAATGGGAGTACGAACATGGGCACGATATTGAAGAACAAGACAGGAATAAGGATCAATCTTATCACATTTAGATGCACGAACGGTTCCAATGGTTCCAGTTTCAAATTTAACATCACATATATCCAACAAACTGTCTTCTTACTAAAATGGGATACGTAGACAGTACAAGTTGTCACAACGGCTACTGTTCTGACGAAACAGAAGATGTTCTACATATATTTTTGGAATGTAACAAAGTCAGCTCCATCTCGTAAGACATGAATATTTGGATATCGCACCAAATACATGGTGATAGAAATATGGATATTAATGACACCTTCCGTTCCAGGTTGACCAAAAGGATCCGTATTGAAAGTTATTTGTGTCATGTGAACTTGAACAGAAATCTACTTTCATAACACTGACCTGTGATTGCTGCAGCCGGTTAAAATCAGGAGTGACATAATACAGAATCCCATCCAAAGAACCCGGCATCATGCACGCCCTGATCAGCAGCACCGTCAACAGTATGTATGGCATCAATGCCGTCACATACACTACCTGTTGAAACATACATAATGATTTGTAGTTCATCACGCTGGGATAAATCTATGCGACTATAAAGTATATTACACATGTCACCCCCACCGCTCGATAGGTCAAGCGAGTTCTATCACAATAAAATGGTCATGATCCCCTTGTAAAATGGCCAAGCTTTTGTTATTGCTCTGTAGTCTGTGTTTAACAAGTGAAATATTCATCAACTTGAGCAGTGTTTTGAGTCTTTGAACGGATTAGTTTTGTAACATGTGCTGTGACGTAAACTTACAACCAACTCACTGAAAATATGAAAATAAGAGAATATATTTTATAGCATTATGTGTATGACTGTACCTATTAAAACACATTGCAGTTGAAAACATTATGAATATTACCTTGCCAAGAGACCTGATCCCTTTCATGATGCACAGGAACAAGAATAAACATGTAAGAAACCAGCAGATGAGGAGATGAAGCTGAACGGTGCCAACATCCTCTATCCCAGAAGAAATACCCAGCACTTTGTATCTAAAACAAGGGATCAAAGAAATGTAAGTGGTGTAATATTGTTCAAATAGTCGAGAAGTTAATATTGCTTTTACTGCCAAAGGTTCCACTTACTGCCAGAATTCTTCTGTTGCAGTATGTCCAAATGCCTTCGTCGCCCCAGAGCTAATGTTGGCTTCACCAGACACCTCTTTTACCGCAAGGTATTCGGTCAAGTTTGATATTGTTCCATCTATCTCTGTCGATCTATTAATCCCACCTCGTAAAGCACCAACAGCCACACACTGACGAGTGTTCCACGCGTTGCCACATGTTGTCCAGGGCAGGACGGTGGCGAAGGAGCTGTATATGTAGTAGAGGGCCCAGGCAAACACCATACTGTAGTATGGGACGATAAGGCAGCTAATAGTCATGATACTAAAGCCAATACCTGCAGGTACCAAGTGAGATACAGTTTTATATAATGTGACTATGCAATATTTGTCACCGAACGTGGTGAACATAGATAAAGTTACATATCTATCTTCAAAGGTTGAGGACAATTTGTCAAAACTAAAAGCAAATGACATCTAAAGTTTACTGAGTAATATATGTCAAATTGCGGGACTAACTCTCAGATATATCTCAGATCTTTGAGAGCTGGGGCATAGGACTTTCATGCCAAAAACAGGCATCACCATAGTCACCAGTTGTTCTCCCCTCCTTGCTGATCTAGGTTTTTTTATGAATATGAATCAATTTCTGTTTGGATTGGCAAAATCAAACCAGGGGAATTTGGCAATATCGTCAATATTTCAGCCATATCGTGGTGAGAGAAAGAACCGGTCTTCGAAGGACAGTAAAATAACTAGAAAATCACAGATTTTATATAAAATTAAGGTGTAACCATAAAAAAGATTTCACAATACAGAACACTACATGATACAAACAGTCTATACATAGCAACTGGCGATTGTACGTCCTTTTAGCCATAGTAAGATATAAATATTCTTTTGAATGACATAGTTTTCTCCTCCATTGACAATTTATATATATGAGGTCCTATCAGGGGGACAGCAGCTTTACACTACTTTCACCCCTTTCGAGGATACAACCACTGACAATCACAGAGTTTTTAATTCATTCTACCAAATTTAAAAGGTCATCTGTTGTAACATATTAACATTATTATCATACAATTTTATTTCTTTTTAAAAACACTAATTAGACGAGAAATTACATTATCAAAAGATATGGACGAAACAATGAAATAATTATCCCTTGTGGTAGAAAAATATACACAGTCAAGCAGGGCATGGTTGACTGTCATTCTCTCATCACAAGGAATACAACATGGAGGATCCTCGCCTTTGAATAAATATTCATGTCTATAACGAGAGTGACCAATACGACGTCCTCACAAAATGACTTCAAATCTGGACTGACAAGAAAAGGAGGTGTAACGATAGTTGGTTTGATTTCATGTAACATATTGATACCCACCTGGGTATCTCACTTCCTTTGCATTAGATCTCGGTTGCGACATCTAATAACTGGCCTATAATCACTGTATGGGATCAGAAGTGGTTTGAGATTTGTTGATTGCTGCTTTAGCTGCAGCGTCAGCTATTGACTTGCCAATGATGGATAGGCACCCAACAGAAGATGATGTTGCATTGGCCAGTAGAAAGATTATTAAATAGTTCAATGGTGTCCAGTAAACTGGATGCTGACACGAATTATTTTCAATAGCCCGAAGACAGGACAGAGACTCTAAACATCAGCAATTCACTATTTTTCAGACTGTTTGATATATCCTATGGTGTTAAAAGTTCCTTTGATTCGGCTGAAAATTGGGAGAGTAACCCAGTAATCTATTTGAAAGAGCATGGATCAAACGATAGTGGCGCTGGCTTCAGCGTCACCATCATGGGATCCATCTGTAAATATTGATACTATTGATATTGATATTTGTACTTCTTAACTGATTATATTCTTGTTGATACTGTAATTGATTTGTTTCTGATTTCATTAGTTTCGTCAATGTCAGATCTACCTGTGGCTTTACCACTTGCCATCAGCCTCATCAGACATATTAGTGTCAATAGGAGAGGTTGGGAAAGATCCAAGACAAAGTATTAGACCTTCATGGTGAATAGAATCTAGCCGTTTAATGGTTCTTTCGCAGGCTCCACTATAGATGTTGCCATAGTCCGGTTTTGAACAGATACTTATTCACTTTGAATTTGAAACAACGTCAGAAAGATCCATCGCCTTCAGACATTAAACTTTCAGAATTTCATGTGCTATAAAAGAAAGATGGTGATACAAAATTATTCCCAAACTTTGGCTTCCTTTACAACTTTTATGGGAGTGCCGCATAGATGTAAGTCTGGGACACTAAGGCGTTTATATTTTCGACAGAAATGGATGCAATTAGTTATTCATTTAGAAAACATTCAGCGGTTACATTGTGTTTGTTTGATGGTTAGTTGTTCAATGCCGAACCCATCAATATTCCAGCTATATGACGGCGGTCCGTAAATAGTTGAGTCTGGATCAGACAACCAAGTGATTGACATCATGCGCATTGATCCAAGCAATTTGGATCGATGACATGCATCGACCAAGTCAGCGAGCCTGACCACCCGATCCCGTTAGTCGCCTCTTACGACTAGCATAGTCGCTTATTACGGCAAGCATGGGTTGCTGAAGACCTATTCTCCCCCGGATATTCACGGGTCCGGTCTGTAAGTAATCGATACTGGACCAGACAGTAGTCCGGGGTTGACATCATAGGTATTGATCTACGCAATTGGGATACGAAGACATACATCAATCACAATATAGATCTAGAACACGACTGATAACTTAATCTGACCAATAATCATGTTCTCCCTTTATGTCGTACAATATTCCCGCAGATTCAGCCTTTGGTGTCTACATTTCACAACTTTTGAGTTTTGACATGTTGACAATTTTTACTTTTGACATGTGACCTCGTTTGTTGTAAATAATATACTTTGAATGTGTTTATGATGGTGCAACTTGATATGCTCTCATTTTCGCGAACACCCGGTATCATCACTATCTCAAAGTGATTCGCAAACACAAGTTTATGAGATACATATAGTTAGAATCAAACGATAGATGCTGCCTTTAGCAGATATTTCTTATGATTATGGAATAGGTTTTCGTCGCTTATATTTTCTTCAGAATTTATCCACATTTCCTTTCAAGAGATATTGTTACAGATGGATTTGGCAGTAGCATGCAAAACAATATCATTTTGTGGTCATTCCAGCACTTGAAAGCTCTTTCATACTAACCTTTCATTAGAGGACACATTGCCCACACTCCTATGGGACCTTTACGGGAAAATTGACCGAGAGCAACCTCCAGGAAGAAGAGAGGAACCGCCACAGTAATCGTGAATATGATGTGAGGGATCAGAAACGCACCTGCAATATCAGTTGGAGAATTGAATTTTGCCCGCACGTTCACAAGCCTTTAAATATGAATCGCCTATTGCTGCAATCCATTTAAAATTGTAGTTCATAAAACGTGATTCGGTCTCATATTAACATCATCCAAGATCATATCACATCTTATACCATCCCAGATATCATGTATTAATCAAACTCCAACATAAAGTTTGTATCACTTGCTCTTATTTACATATTCTTTCAAACTTTGGTGATCCATGTCGAGGTGATTTGTTTACCATATTTTGAAGAACATCCTTTCGGGTTTAAATGTTCACTTTTGTCCACTTTTTGGCACATGTTTGCCGAAAAGTGTTCTTATACGTCCACATTATGCAAGATATGAAAAACAAGTGCAAATTCTCATTCACATGAATACATCAGATAACGCTCATGATTTAAACAAGTGTTTTGTCAATTATTGTATCACGCTGTCATGTGGCAGTGAATTCTATTGTTGAACAATGATTGTGGCTGCTTTTCATTTTTTGGGTTGTGGTTCGTTAGACGCTCATTGCATTGTGTATAGACAGTAATTAGTCGTCAGGAATGTGGTGCTGTTTAATGTAGGCTGTGGTCAGGAAGTCACTTTTTTATGCCTTGGACTCACGTACAATATTCTGTAATGATCTAGTGCCACTAGACTGGAAAATCTCTCACACATTTCATCACACATTTTCATCTGAGAATACATGAAGACCGGCTTTCGTGTGAAATTCACCTCGGACTCCCTGACTAGGCCCATCTCGAAAGGGTGAATATATACTCACACGGAAAATAAACGCAAGTGGTTTTAAGCAAATAGGTAACAAACACGGAACCATAAATTGATACGAGTTTTAGCATGTTGTGAAGTCTGATGGTGTTATCAATATTTTTGGTTGCATCTTGGAAGCCCCGAGTTAAAACGCAACATAAAAAACGAATCGCCAAAACGAACTATTTCAATGAATATGTGGGTATCATGCACCCATTTCTCGCGAAATCGAAAATGCACGAACTGTCACGAACTGTAGTGGGTATAAAACTGTGGCCGATTCTTGGACCTACCACTCCTCGGTCAACAACGCCACGCCTAACTCAAATTCAGAGAAACCAGGCTATCGGACGTTTGGAAGCTGGAGAGTCTGTCCAAGATGTTGCCCGTCATTTCAACGTTAACATAATCACAATTTCCCGTCTCCTGCATCGATACAATGCTACACAGACCACAGATGACCTTCCTCGGAGCGGTCGTCCTAGGGTCACCCCACCTCGACAAGATCGGCAGATTACCCGTCAACACCAGCGACATCCGTTCCTAACTGCAAGTGAAAGTGCTCGACAGACCATAGGAACACATTATCGACACATTAGCCGCGACACTGTGATCCGACGTCTCCGCTCCAACAACCTCAGATGTCGCCGACCAGCACGTCGTCCTGTTCTCCAACCACGGCATCGACAAGCACGACTTCAGTGGGCACAGGGTCATCACAATTGGCGTCATCGCGAGTGGAGGCGTGTCATCTTCTCTGATGAAAGTCGCTTTTGTGTCTCCCATGCAGACGGAAGAGTCAGAATTTGGCGGCGTCGAGGTGATCGTTTCGGTGACAGAAACGTTGTGGAAAGGGATCCATGGGGTGGACCTAGCGTCATGATATGGACAGGGATTGGACTTAATGCGAGACTTGGACCCATGTGCTTTCTGAATGTTGGTCAAGGTCGGGGACACGGCGTCACTGCTCAGCGGTATATCGACCAAGTGATCAGACCCCACGTTGTTCCATTTTGTGCACAACATCAACAACACATTTTCCAGCAGGACAACGCTCGTCAACTGCCGATGAACTACGCACGGCTGCTCTGGGTGTGCAGGAGGATCCCTAGGGCCTTCACAAATCGTCTGATCCACTCAATGTACAGGAGATGTGTGGCAGTGATCAATGCTAATGGTGGTCAAACCAGGTATTGACTGACATTTTGGGTATTGACCCGAAACTGTGTAACCCCTTAACATTTGAAAAAAACAATTATGTCATCTGCCTTTTAATCCATTAAACTGTCTTCAGTCACATTTTTGTCAATCTTGCCCTATTAGTATTTCTTGTCTTTACTGTTGAAAATAAATAACATGTATACTGCATACTCGACTAGCGTTTCTTTTGCTCGTGAGTATACTATTAGCACTGACTTTTGCTATTACCACTGTAATTTTGTATTTGATACTGACCACTTCCATCATAGTATATATTCCCATTGAATAGTGTACTGTAACTCTGTTTTATACTGCCATTGTATTTGCCTTGCAGTAATTTATGGTGATGTGTAAACTTAGTTTATTTTGTAATATATGTGTTGGTTGTGTACCACTTGTTGTTTGTTTTACGTACAGATTCTTGGGTTAACTTATTGTTTTGATTTGGGAATAGACACGTAACAACGCAGATCATGTGGGCCTAAAAGGGCCCTTATTGTAGATGTACCTTGCTCTTTATATTGTTGGTACTATGGGTGGTAATGATGTATCTACAACTGTGACACTTACTGCATATGTCGCCACACATAATGTCGTTTGGACATGATCATAGCAGTAACACATTTTGTGGACCTATCGTTGTGTCAAAACGTGAGACGCATTGGACAAAAATCTTTATTTACGTATCAGATTTATTCATTTGGTTACAATAGCTTCAGTTTATGCCAAAACTTGTCTTACAGACGTGCTTCTCAATATATGATCTTTCAAACATCCCTAGTCAATCAAGGAGAGCTGGGACGACAAATTAGTTTAGACAGAGACCCTGACAAAGCTGTTACCTAGATGTGACAATAAGTTACCGTCCCGTACAAGTAACATACCTTGTATGTTTTTATAGCAAACAAATGTCATATGTGTTTTCACATTTTAACATGTCTAGAAAGTATAAAATGTCCATATATGGCCCAAAAGTAGGAAGTGCTTCTTCTTTAAACGTCCTTCAATCATAGGGTTTAAAATGAAATCTAACAACCAAAGCATTTTAGAGCAGGTTAAATACTCTCGAGTTTTGTCATATTGGTCACATCCGGATAATCTTCTCCTACAAATACATTTTATACAACAGTTTACAAAGACGTTCGAGAAAAGACGAAAAAAATTTCAACTCATTCAATTTTTATATGTTTCTCTTCTAATAATGTGACTTCATATCTTCGTTTGAAGTTACGTCGTGCAGTTGAATTGTCAGCAGTTGTAGTTTTTGAGTCATCAGACTGTAATACAAATACCAAAAAAATCACTGATGTTTCGCTTTTTCTCACAATTGATGAAACTCGTGCACATAAAAAATACCTGAACAATCATATTATAATCTACAGCCAATACTTTCTGTCCTGTTACTTACAGCTAACATATTAAATATAATAGATGTGTGATAACTCCGAAATGCTATGGCCTTATCAAGTTGGCAAGACTTCATGTACTAGTATAATCATACTCACGAGATACTTACAACGTTTGCCCTTAAGACTGAAAATGGAGGCTGTAGTGCATCCGATGTTCCCTTAAGTGTCTTTTTCACTAATCTTTTTCTCAGATACTGCAACACAGCGTCTGATCTAAGGCCCATCATGTGACGAGGTATTTCTCCAATCTCATTGAAGATTCCTGTAGTTACTTACACTATAAAGAAACGTCACTTATCAGAGTACCGTTAAAAAACTGCCATAATTCTTACAAACGAATTTTTACCGTTTACCAACACAGCATTAATACGATAAAAATGAACCACAAACGAAACGAAATGAAACAATCACATTCTGGTATTTGGCTTATTTTTATCAAAGAACCACTTTTATCAAAATCAACATTATGTCTGCAAATACATATATGTTAACCATGTTATTTCGTTTTATCGTCAATAAGCAAAATTCTTTTAAACCAATGAAACTTTCAGGTTATGTTATCAATATGTAATCTCTTATTTTGAAATGCAATATATACTCGCCGCCAAAAGACACGCAAAGCATAGAAACATAAAAAGAAGTATGTACGTTAAAAAGGGATGTTTCCAATGTGCACCACTTAACGACTAAACTAACAATCAGTCGAGTGTTACTTGATTCTTATCACGATATGCTGCACGTGATTTCAAAACTTTACACGCTAATACTGCCCGAGACAAATGATGCATCTCGAGTCATGGATCTATGACGTCACATGTGATGCGTTCATGATAATCTAATATTTCTTGTATATGAGTACGTTTTCATTTTGTACCCAACATGTATGAGATACGTACTTCTTTTGGCGATAAGTATATATTGTCATAATGTCGTTATTTAACCACATGTGTAAATCATGCTTACCTTATCTGAGAGGTTAATATACTTGCTCGCCATTCTTGCCTTTATGCATACCTGGTTCATAGTCTTACAAAGTGTGTACACCTATGCACTGAAAGTTAGACCTTATTTGGCCTGTTATTGTGACAAATAATGTTGAAGTGACAGATTATATTTTTTTGTTTACATTTGGGGTCATCACTCTGAAATAATACTTATCGAACATTCATGAAACTTCCAAGATTTAATTGATTATTACTTTGTCGAGATGAACAAATGACTAATCATTTTTAGATTCCCTCTCTACAACGACCACCTGGTTGCTTTGTGCAGGTTTTATTACCACTGCCTCTTTTAACCGATCTCTATCAAACTTACTGTTGTACAAAGGATACTCTACAAGGTTAAACTCATTTCCGTTAATATCCTTACACTATAGGGACGGAAAGGAGGACTCAGACCAAGCAGACCAGACCAAGCCGTAGATGGTTGTCGGTTGTTAGAATGGCCCATTAACAGTGTTTTAGGCATAAAATAATGGACATTTTGAAGCAGTATTACGCATATGAGAGATGATATTAAAAACGACAGGAATTCCAATGCAATGATATTACTTTTTTTAAAACAAACACCCCGTCGGTTTCACAAGTACCGTGTCGAGTCAAATATAGCCATGAAAAGTTATATATTTTTCGTATATGAAGTCTATGCCTTTTCTATAGCAGTTTAGTATATTCCGTAGTAAGACCATTGTTGATTGAAAAAAGCGAAAAAATAACAAAAGGCATACGACCTATAGAGTATTTCTTTGGCGTTGACCGACCATTCGTTCTCCTGGGGGAGCTGACATAAGCTCACCGCGGAACTTCGTACTAGGTGAAGTTCCGCGGTGAGCTTATGTCGTACCAGGTGATCCTGGGTAGAATAGGTCTTCAGCAACCCATGCTTGTCGTAAAAGGCGACTAACGGGATCGGGTGGGTGGTCCGGCTCGCTGACTTGGTTGATGCATGTCATCGATCCCAATTGCGTGGATCGATTTTCATAATATAAATCACTTGATTGGTCTGGTCCAGACTCGATTATTTACAGACCGCCGTCAAAAAGCTGGAATATTGCTAAAACAACAAACCAACCAACCAACCAATCGTACCAGGTGAGCTATAAATGCTATCTTTCGACATATTTTATGAAAAAATCGTACTTGATTATGAACAGATTTCGCAAGACGGATGACGCACGCCGTACAAAGACGGATGGCAATATCTCACATAGGCCTTTCGGCAATCTTATACGTAATGAAAAAAAAGCTAAGTAGAACTGTCCTATGGGGAATTAAATACTTCCGGCATACGTATGAAAATGTTAACATGAGTATCCAAACGTTCCTCTGCAATCATATCGGAAGACATAATCAAAACCTCTTGGTTTTTTTAAAGATTATGTGAAATAGGGTTTAGCATTTAAAGGAGCAATCACAGGCCTCCTTTCCATTGAAATGGTAAAATTGAAAACGTGTGTGGTTGAGTTCGGAGTCCCATGCCATGTCAATATACAAAATTTGAACGTAATCGGACAAATTCTAAATTTCGACCAATCAGAGGCCTCTATCTTGTTGCCATGGTAACACAATGGTAATGAAATAAAGGCATGTCGCACAGTGTCCGTGACTAGACCTACGTAAATATCTGAAAGAAATAGATGTAGTAGTTTAGAAGTTGTCCAGACAAATTGAAATGACGTAGTAATAAACGGCAATAACTACCCCGAAATGAAAAAGATAATTGCCATGTGCCCAACTATACATGTATGTTGAATTGGTCACGTGTACAAAGTTTAATTGAAATCAACCAATAAGTTCAGAAGAAATTATCCAGAAATTCATTTTCTACGGAAAGACCGACAGACAAGCGAACACGTTGATTCCATTATAAACTGACGTCAAAAAGAAACTGTACCAACTGAAAATATTTCAGACAAAGTATACATTTTTTCGATGAAGTCTATCTAAAACACATAACCTAAATACAACAATAGTGTATGCAGAAAATGTTAATCGTCTCTTACATGTTTGCGAGATAACACGTGGAAAAGTGAAAAACACGTACACCACGGACAACTGCAAATGCACGTGCGGGTAGGGGTATAAAACGATTGCAACGGCAAGTCAGACATCCACAGTGATAAAAAAACACAAAAGAAATGCCACGACTCACAGTCGAACAACGTGAACGAGCCTTGTGTATGGTACAGATGGGAGCCACCCACGCCCATATTGCACGAATCTTCGGTTGCTCCCGTGTTGCCGTTACCAACTTGATGCAACGTTACAGACAGACAGGGCGGACCGCTGACAGGCCAAGAACAGGCAGACCCAGGGTGACCACGCCCCTGATGACCGGTAGTTGCGTACCTTGCACCTCCGAAATCGCTTCCTGACAGTGACGTCATCGGCGACAAATGCCTTAGGTCACAGGGTTAGTCGACAGACAGTGGCCAGGAAACTCAGGGCTCATGGAATCAGGGCTTTTAGACCATACAGAAGACAGCTATTGACATCGCAACATCGTCGTCTGCGATTGAGATGGGCCCGGACTGTACGACGTTGGCAACGACGTGACTGGCAGAGGGTTGTCTTCACTGACGAAAGTCGATTCTGTATGTTTAGGGCTGATGGAAGACAACGTGTTTACCGCCGAAGGGGTGAACGAACGGCGGCATGTAGCATGCAGGAGGTCGTACCATATGGTGGAGGGAGTGTCATGGTATGGGGAGGGATCTGAGGGCAGGAGAGGACACCGCTGGTCATCGTTGACGGAAACTTGACAGCTCAGCGTTACATGGATAACATTCTTCGTCCAGTTGTCCTACCATTTCTGCAACAGCAGCCACGTGGTGTCATTTATCAGCATGACAACGCTAGAGCCCATACAGCCAGAATTGTCACTAACTTCCTCGCAGCCAACAACGTCAACGGCCTGCCGTGGCCTGCACGCTCACCCGACATGTACCCCATAGAACACCTCTGGGACTTTATGGATCGTCGTGTTCGACAACGACCACACCCTCCAGCCAACCGGCAAGAACTGATCTTGACCCTCCAAGAAGAATGGCGTCAAATCCCACGTGACCTCATCAGACGACTGACTTTTTCTGTGCGTCGAAGAGTTTTTGCGTGTATTGAGGCATTTGGTGGTCACACACGCTATTAATGACTTGTTATTGAACGTTAGCGATTGTTTATGTACTCTGCCTATTGTCCATGATTCTGAAAGCTCGAGTTTTGTACCACACCCAACTTTGGGGGGCTCTGACGTCATTCTCGGTCGCGGTATAATTGTCATTTTCAGTGTTGATTATGTTGATATATTGATCTTCTCTATACACTTTACTTCACGCATGTATGTTTTGTTGTTTTTGAGCAAGAGTGATTTCAAACTCTGGTAAAGTTTCTTTTGGACGTCAGTTTACTCCCTAACTTCGTTGCGGGGGTACAATGAACATTGATTCGAAAGGAAGGAGGGTTTTCTAAAGGACTTCATAAATAGATATTTACTTATTTAGATATTTCAGACCTGTAAATTAGAAATGACGACTGTGAGACCATCTTGGATTTCTGAATGAGGTTATATTACTGCACCTTGTGCTGATCATCCACACCAAGTTTCATAAAGAGCACTTTATAGTATGGGAAATAGTCTTAAATAGAGTTAGCTATCTAAATTTCAACTAAGCAGAGGACTTCATTGCTATTGTAATAAAATGTGCTTTGTGCTTTAAAATAGATTTAAATATCTTTTAACGAAATCGACCAACTAAATTTCGACTAATCAGATACCTCGGTTACATTGCCATGATGGTAAGAAAACCTATTCGGTTGAGTCCTGAAATACATTGTACCGAAATACCTTAAACTGAATATTGATCAACTAGCTCTGCAGCTGCTGCTTTCCGTTGCCATGAAAGCAGGCTAGTAACGACAATACAGCTATATTGTCACGAGATTCACCTTTAATTTGTACCAAGATTGAACAAAATCGGCTGATATGTGATAAATGACCACTTAAAGAAAACCTGTAAATAACGATCAGGTTGTTGTTGAGAGGTTGTTGGAATATGAAAGGTGCAGTGCACAAGTTCCATGGCTCTACTATATGTTGTTCCTGAGAAAATGCGCAAAGTTAAAGGAAGAATTTATTCTATTACGAATAATTATAAGAAACCGAGCGGAAACAATGAAAAATATGAAAACAGCAAAAGGTACCCTATATTTCCAATCAAACTTTGTTCATAACAATCTTTTACAATAAGGGGCGATATGTAAAAAATACGCGTTGATATTCTCAATGTTAAAAAAAAATACATTTAGAGTAATTTTAACATATAAGTTTGAAACAGTGCCCCAGTAGTGTACATGCTAATTATACAGTTATATAGGCGGATAATCCTTCTCCGTTTTACTTCCTGATTTCAACATAAAGAAACTGTAACCAGTCACCTAGTTCTTATACAGAAATGCACAGACATATTTGTTTCATGTGCATATATGTGTTGTGTTTCACATTTTGCCAATAGTTCCAAGATAGTGTAAACCGACTTTTTGTTTTAGAATTCGTCCTTCAACCAATTCATTAATTGTATCAGAAGTATTCTTTTACAAAACAATATTCGTTGTCTGGCACCGTGTTAGGCCGTTTGAAATTGTATATCGTTCAAAGTCATGTGTTGCCTACTAAATTAATTTTCCGAGATATTTAGCGTGACTGTCTGGCTTCAATAATCACCAACGCTGCCCATGGTATCTCAAAAAAATACTTTTAGTTGATCACATATTTGCATAACCTCGGATACAACGATATGAACGTTTTTAGTTGGGTTACAGGAGCAAGACATTGGCTATGGGAAGGGTTTAGTCGCTTTCACTTAAAAAGTGATGGTTTGTGATGGTTTGTGATGGTGAATGTGCCCGAAGTGCGAACAGTTTACAAAACACTCGCGAACTCGAGTATTTGACTATGCTCTAACAAAGGTAGAGGAATCGTTACAGCACAATAAATATTGCCCTTAGTATTGATTACATGGGACAATAAGTTTTTGCTACTTCAAACCCCGTCGAAGGTATTGCCACGAACAATCTCAGTTTATAAACTTTTTAGATCAAAATTTGTGAATTTAGTTCTCTTTTTTTCAGAAGAGTTAAGGATAAAATAGGAATTAACATTGCTAAAGAGGACATGCTTGACTGTGTTCTTTTATCACATGGGACACAACACGAAGGATCCCAACAACAAATATTCATGTGTGTATATGTCTTGGCCAATACGATATCGTCGCATAATGACCTCTTCGAATCTGGACTGACAAGCCAAGTTGGTGTAACCAAAAGTTGGTTAAATTTCATGTAACTTATTGATACCTAATTGGGTGTCCCAATTCTTTTGCATTTGATCACGGATGTAAGATCCAATCACCGGCTTGTAAACACTTTAGGGGTGTCACAGTTTTGTTGAGTGCTGCTTTTGCAGCCGCATCGGGAATGGTGTCACCAATAATTCCAACATGGCTAGGTAACCAACAAATGACGATGTCATATTTGTAAGTAACAAGACCATTAAATAATAAAACAGTTTCGATTAAACGTGGATGTTTACATGACATATCATTAATGGCCTAAAGGCACGAAAGATAATCTGAAGAAAAATTATGAACTGTTTATGTGTAGATTAAGCATTAAGATGTGGAAATGGAGCTGTTATCGGGTAATCTTGAAGATATTGTTCTGGATCCAATGATTGTGGCACTAGCAACTGTGCAACATCCTTGGATACATCTGTACCATAGATTTGTAACTATCATATTTGTTTCTTAATTGATAATATTCTTGTTGATAAATACCTTGATTTGTTTCAGATCCACCTCTGGCTTAACTAACTGCCATGGTGGAGAAAACAAAGTTGGATGGGGGCTTTTTTTTCGAGAGGTATTTTAGCAGCAGAAAACAAGAGTCATCAGAAAGATGACATATCCCCCCGGCAGCTGTCTGTAAAGTAACCACTAGTAAATGTGCAATTCTGTATGTAATGAGTCAACAGTTGAATTGTCTTTAAGAAGGAACATTGTTTACCCACTGAATGGTTTTCGAATTCTGGCCCGGAAACGAACCCGTTCCCCAATGGAGTCTAGGTCCAACTTCTTTCCATAAAAGTTGTGAAAAATAAAAATTCGTAAGAAAAAATATATCAAAAGGCATCACTTCAGTATGTGCCTGATAGCTTTGCCAAGTTTCGATAAAATACACTGAGTGGTTTCGAATTCTAAAAATTCGAAAAATCCCAAAATATCAAAAGGCACCACTTCAGTATGTGCCTGATAGATCTGCCAATTTTCGATCAAATACACTGAATGGTTTTCGAATTCTGCCCCGGAAACGAACCTATCCCCAATTGAGTCTATGTCCAACTTCATTCCATAATATATTTTTTTTAAAACAACTAGAAAAATCCCAAAATATCAAAAGGCACCACTTCAGTATGTGCCTGATAGCTTTGCCAAGTTTCGATCAAATACACTGAATGGTTTTGGAATTCTGCCCCGGAAACGAACCCATCCCCAATTGAGTCTATGTCCAACTTCATTCCATAAATTTAAAAAAAATAAAAAAATTCGAAAAATCCCAAAATATCAAAAGGCACCACTTCAGCATGTGCCTGATAGATCTGCCACACACTGAATGGTTTTCGAATTCTTCCCCGGAAACGAACCCATCCCCAATTTGAGTCTATGTCCAACTTCATTCCATAAAAAAATTTAAAAAATAAAAATGAGAAAAATCCCAAAATATCAAAAGGCACCACTTCAGTATGTGCCTGATAGCTTTGCCAAGTTTCGATCAAATACACTGAATGGTTTTGGAATTCTGCCCCGGAAACGAACCCATCCCCAATTGAGTCTATGTCCAACTTCATTCCATAAAATTTTTAAAAAAATAAAAATGAGAAAAATCCCAAAATATCAAAAGGCACCACATCAGTATGTGCCTGATAGATTTGCCAAGTTTCGATCAAATACACTGAATGGTTTTCGAATTCTGCCCCGGAAACGAACCCCATCCCCAATTGAGTCTATGTCCAACTTCATTCCATAAATTTTTAAAAAAAATAAAAATTCGAAAAATCCCAAAATATCAAAAGGCACCACATCAGTATGTGCCTGATAGATTTGCCAAGTTTCGATCAAATACACTGAATGATTTACGGACAGACGGACGGACAGACAGACTGGCTGATCGCTATATCCCCCCGCATTATATGCCGGGTTCTATTCTTACACGAGGTGGAGAAAGAGATGTTTTCTTATTATGAAAAGCTGGATTTGACTGCCTGGAAAACAATTCACTGATGAATTGAGAGCATAGTTCGAGACTTTGTTGCTTAAGGGACGGTTAATCCAATTTATCATACATACTATTAATGTGAGAAGTTCGAAAGGTTACCAAGGCAAAGCAATCGAAAAAGATCGATACAGCATGTTATCTATTTACAATGAATATTTTAATGAACTAAATGATTGATAGTACTTCTGTTTTTTCCGGAAACCACATTGAATATTGGTAATGAGATCATTTGTTTGCAAGTACCAGACTTTTTACCATGCTTTCCATTATTTTTCAAACACAGCTAGTCAGAGATATAGGTCGGTAATTTGATGGATCTGAATGATCCCGCCCAGGATTTGGTGTGAGGACAACAATTGTATTATGCCAAAGAGGAAAGGTCCCTGACGTCCAAATTAAAGATCATTGAATGTATTCAGTATAGTTTCAAGACATGATTCGGGCAAGTATTTTAGTTGCAAATAATATTATCAGAGCCTTCTGCTGTATCATGATCTTGCCCTCTGTAGCTCATGAAGTAGCAATATTCCCAAATTACGGTTCAGCATCACAGGCATAATTAACAGCTCTCAAACATATAAACGCTCATTCTAAACATAAACATTTCATTATATATTCTGATTGCCTTTCCTGTATTCAGGCCATTAAGAATATTTTATATGAACATCCACTTTTACGCGAAATTATAGAATTACATGAGGATCTTGCTAATGGCCAGTACGACATCGTCTTTTGTTGGTTACCCAGCCATGTTATAATCATTGGTAATACAATGGATGTTGTTGCTGCTGAAGCAGCACTCAACAAATCTGTGTTTGTTTGTTTGTTACTTAACGCCACACTCAGCAATATTCCAGATATATGACGGCGGTCTGTAAATAATCGAATCTGGACCAGACAATCCAGTGATTATTTCACATTATCATAATGAATAAATATATGAATAACGTTGTTTTATTATGAGATCAAAATCAGCTCATGGCGCAAGTTCTGCACATGTGAGAACACAGTAAAGCGTTTCGGGTTTGATGAAGCTGCGGAACTTACGTTGTACAAAAACGTTTGGATGATAACTAAATTGAGTTGGTAAATACAATAAAAGTGAGACATTGGTTCGCAATCCCAAATGATAAAATGCCTTACCTCCTCCGTTTCTTTGACAGACATAGGGGAATCTCCATAAGTTTCCGAGACCCACAGAAAACCCAAGCAGAGCAATGATACACTGGAATTTGTTGGACCATTGTGGTTTTACTACTTCTCCTTCTACACATGTCACATCCAATTTTTCCTGAAGAGGCACACTTTCGAGTTGTTCCTTTCCCGTCATCGTTGCCGTCCTCAGTGTTCAAAACTGGTTTTATATAAACGCAGATTTTGTCATTTACCATGGATCGTTGGTTATTCATGAAATCATTGGGCCAAATATGGACCACTGGATAGTGCTGTAGGTGGTCGTGTCTTCATCTAGAATGTGTTTCAGGAGTGATAACGTACCACAGAGACAAGGATCAAAATAAGGGGCAAATTATTATCAGAATTTGCACAGTCACGATCTGCTAAAGGGTGCTCTGTGCGACAGCACGAAACGTTCACTATGCGCGTGTCATAAAAAGTTGGGACACAGAATGCAATTGAATGCGTGCCTGTTTTTAAGCTATTCTTCTATAGCAGATTCATTAACATGTCTCAGGGGCTAAGGTCGTCGTGATGGCATTAGGAAAAATGCTGTCTCATTTAATGCCAGTTACTTTTTACTATTTGTTTGTTGTTTAACGCCTCACTCAGCAATATTCCAGCCACATGACGGCGGTCTGATCGAATAAATAATCGAATCTGGAGCAGAAAACCCAGTTACTGACATCATGCGCATCGATCTACGCAGTTGTGATACGATGGCATTATCAACCAAGTCAGCGAGCCTGACCACCCGATCCCGTTAGTCGCCTCTTACGACAAGCATAGTCGCCTATTGGGGCAAGCATGGGTTGCTGGAGACCTATTCTAGCTTTCATTTGAGGATCGCTCCTATACTATTATCACTGACTTTTGCTATCACCATTGTAATTTTGTATTTGATACTAATCTCTGCCATCATATTATATATTGCCATTGAATATTGTACTGGCACTCTTTTGTTTACTGTCATTGTAATTGCCGTGCAGTAATTTGTATTGATTTTTCAAACTTTTAAACTGTTAATTGTAGACCATTTGTTGGTTTTACACTAGGTTCTTTTACGTACATATGGTTTCAATTTGGGAACCGACACGTAACTGTTGTTTTCATACCAAGCTTCATTCTCTTGACCATTTTGCTTTCTGAATAGATCTTCAAGTTTTAATACAGCATATGTGTTCATGTTGTAACACTTAAACCTTAATATTGTTACAAACGTATATGAGTTTGGATGCAAAAGATTTTGCAAACTTAAGGATAGTGAATTTATTTTGACTGAAGATGAATACCGCAATGCTTTGAATCTAGTTTTAGTCGTTACCATCTAGAATATTATTTATTTTCTAAGCCTTGTATTTTTGGTCAGTATTGGTCAAATACAAATCGTAAATGGGCAACGTTTTGAACACTAAATGCCATTTCAACTTAAACCTTTAATCATTTTACTCTAAATATAAAATCTTTTTGTAATAGTCAGTTGTATAGGATCCTGGTCATTTTTCCTGGCAGTCATAACACATGTGTAGCCAAATAGTATTTTTAAAAACACGAAACGAGAGTATGTATACTAAAGTAATGAGAGAAGAAGTCGTTCTCAGAGGAAGAGTAAAACGGTAACTGAATTGGTGTCGCCTGTGGAAACATGTCTATGCATAAAGGCTGCACACCCTGCCTACAATAGGTTCATTTAGAAATTCAATTCATTTACTCTATCCAAGGGGTCATACAACCATGAAACTCGCTCGCTCACGACCAAGCATGCATCCAGCTTAATGAGTGGGGGATTGATGGAATAGATTATGAGTTGACGACTATCAGATGTTAGTTTGTTTTATTGTTCATGTTTTATGCATACACAAATGATACTATTTACATTTTGGCAACATCTGCCAATAACATGCATTTCAAGAGAACTGTCGTCTATGGGAGTCATTCATGCAACTGTGTAGAATTAGTTATGGTTGGTGTATCTAAATATCAAAATAATGAAAGGTGATTGAGCTTAATCAACGTAATGTGGCTGTACATTAGTGTGATAACAGAAAGAAACAAGTGCTTTGTTAAAACCCTAGAGGACGTATATGGTACTGACTCACCAAGAAACAAAATAAGGACAACACTGTGATTCGATCCGACCATTATTTAGACCGATGGATTGAGGGTTTGCATAAATTACATTATACAATCAATACAGTATAATATAGAGTAGAGGGTATAAATCGGATATATTAAATACAACATTTAGGATGGATGCAGGGGTTATGTTCCGGACCTCTCATGTATAGAGATAATTGTCTGAATTAAAAAGTATCATAAACGGTTTTTTACAAAACAGATAGCCTTACGGAATATAATAGGGGTGACTATTGGTCTGGAAATCACAATATAACTATTGATATTGAAAGAAAAAATTGCGATTACTATTGATATTGCAAGCAACTGTTGCGATAAATATCGATAGCATTTAAGTGTCACATTTTGAATGGATTTTAGTGTTCAAATAAACTGAGGTTTTAAACGATTTAATTGATGGATAATTATTTGTGGACGATTTTAAAATTTCTTTTTATGGTATAAACTTGAATACGATTGAAAGGCAACTGCAATTGTGTTGAAATAAAATCAATAAATGGTCACTTGAAAATGGTTAAGTTTTCTTAAGCCATGACCAATGTGATTCAATTTTGTAAAAAGCATTAGCCGCATAAGGACCCTGATTTAGTTTTGGATGGTGCTCCTATCAAAGTGGTTAAAAAGTTTCTTGGTAATATTTTTGACCAACACGTGACCTTTCTGCCACACATAAAAAACATAAACACTAAAGGCCTGAAAGCAATAGGTTTATTAAAAGTAGTTTCAAATTCAAAATGGGGAGGGGGTCAGAAAACCCACATCCAACTGTACAGGGCGCTTATCCGCTCTAAACACGATTACGGCTCTAATGTCTATGGTGGAGCATGTGCAAGAAATTTGATAAAAATTATTCTCATCATCAGGGACTGAGGCTTTGCCTTGGCGCCTTTAGAATTCTCCGATTCATAGCCTGTATCTGGAGGCTGATGAACCATCGCTAAAACAACGTCGAATAAAGTTATGTTTTCATTTTCTATTTTTTTTATGTTTATTACTGTCACGGTTATAATCGCAGGATAAGTGTTATTTTAATCCTGCTAAATTTGTCACTAACTGTAAAGACCTGAAGGAATGATGTAGCAAAAGTACTGCAAGTCCCCATGGTCCCTAGTATGACGCTGCGGTTGTTTTATCAGCACTGCTCCCATGATGCATGTTATATTACACTTGCATTGCCATAGCCACGGTACACGACATAGTCCGTACCAGGAAATGCATACAAGTACTTTACACTTTAGAGAGATAGATGGAACCATTTGTTAGTTTAGATACAAGGGTGAATTACCGAACTGCCCAAGCTATTGTGTTCTCAATTCATTCCATAAAGTCTTCGGTGTGATAAATAAAAATAAAAAGGTATAGGGGGGTCTCAAAAACAAAACCGGGCCGTATGAGGATATTTGATACAGGGTGACTATTGGTGTATTGTGTACATGCGTTATGAGCAGAAGGTACCCCCGATGACCAAGCAGTTTTCAGGGTAAATATTCCATCCCATCTATGAGGTCACATTATCTCCGCACCATTCATAACTATCACATTCAGGGCTTCCAGATCATTTACCTAGATGAATCATTCCACTGACTACATGTGGCTATCGGCAGATGAACTAAAACACCCATGGTGCCATCAGGTAAAGGTAATCGTGTCATTGTTTTGCACGCCGTCGTGATGTTGATGGATGTGTGCTAGTATTCGTGGTGAAAAAGAAAATTGGTGATTTCCGCAAGGAAATTGCAGAAGGAGATATGTTCATAGACTGGTTGGAAAATCAGCTATTGCCCATTTAAACAACCTCAGTGTCATAGTCATGGATAACGCCAGTTAATACAACGTCCGAGAGAACCAGATACAGTCGCGCAAACCATGAGTAGTCTGAAGGCGACCATACAGGAATATATGACATTGTCGACTTCACACCATCTGAAAAGAAGTTCATGGAGAAAATTCGGCTGACTAAATTTTGTTTGTTTGTTTGTTTGTTGTTTAACACCGCACTCAGCAATATTCCAGCTATATGACGGCGGTCTGTAAAATAATCGAGTCTGGACCAGACAATCCAGTGATTGACATCATGAGCATCTATCGACGCAATTGGGATCGATGCCATGTATCAACCAAGTCAGCGAGCCTGACCACCCGATCCCGTTAGTCGCCTTTTACGACAAGCATAGTCGCCTTTTACGGCAAGCATGGGATGTTATTCTAACACGGTCACGTTGTCTTACCTACGCAAGTCAGACATTGTGTGCTCAACCCTGTTGAGCCTATCATGGATAACTGTACAGGATTCGTGGCAAGACGTAACACAACATTCAAACTCACACATGTCAAAGGGAGGATAAATGCTGTATTTGCTGGCTATCAGCCTTGTTGAACCAGTTATCAAACCTGTGGATGATAGTACAGATTTATATACGTCATCGGCGGAGATAGATGCTACCTCAAGAAATCGTCTACAGAAAAACAAATACTTCTTGATTCCAAAACCGCAACCTTCCAGTACACATCCCGTTTCATAGCTTATAACTATTCCATTATTTATCCAAGCAAATATAATCTATCGTATATATAACATATCCTAACTTGCTACCCTATCAACGCACATATCAATTAAGTACAACAACAGCGACCCCAACTCGGTTCACATTTGCACCTGTGAGAATGCACGGGCCGGTGTGAGGTTATCACCTCAGGTTATAGGCCGTTTCATACATGAAGACAACACACGAATATTTTCTAAGTTAATCATCATTATTCCTGTAAAAGTACATTTTAAGGGTAACCACAGTGTCAGTTAGGATAGGATACACCTACACCTAACCCTGGACATGATCATACCGATCCATCAAATTATCGAACAATTTCATTGACCAGTTGTACTTACAAACTATCGAACGTTTGATACTTAATTAGAAACCAGTAATCTCATTATCATATACAATGT